GCACTGTGGACGCGTTGGTTCAGGTTCCGCGCAGGATTTTGTTGAAGTTGCTGAGGAAGCACGGGAGATTGAAAAATTTGCATACTGCGCCTGTCTTTTCTGGATGTTTTGGAATGGCGATCATCGGATGTGACACTATATGCACGGCGGCGAACTAGAAGAACGCGCTCTGTGTTTGATTTTTTTTTTTCTTTGGTAACATATCACGTGATAAAATTTGAAAAATAAATTTACCTTTTACTAAATTAAGATCTTTTACAAAGATTTTTTCATTTGTAATGAAAATATAAGAGTCTGGTAATGAAAACAGAAAACAAAAAAAAATCCCAATTATTTTGAATTTACCATCTTGGTCTTCGGAATCTTCATCTATCTCGGCATTAATCGGCCTAGGCAAATTCTCAAATTCCAACAACCTACTAGAATAAAATGCCTCTGCGTGTCTCTTGACTCTTTTTGATTCATTATTGAGTAAATTTTCTACCATAGCCAGCCTTGAAACTTCTGCCCGATTAATTTGATTTCTATAAATAGACAAATCTCTGAATTCTTCTAACAATTCATCGACAGTCGGCCTTGCCTCATGATCAGCGTCCCAGCACTTTCTAATCATTTTCGCGTAACACTTTGGTGTTCCTTTCAAGATCTCGGGTCTTAAACCGTTACATATATCTTTTGCAAGTTCATAATCATGAGCTCGGTCTTGGTATGGTTTCTCTCCAGAAGTGATCTCCCACATTATCATTCCTAAACTATAAATATCCGAAGATTTCCTGTGTGGACGACCGTGAAGTACTTCAGGGGCAATATACGGGAGAACGCCGAACACTTTTATCCTATTGGCAGCAATAGGACCAGTATCGTCATTGTCTATTTTTGTTGAAGGGAACTGATGGTACATCCCAAGATCCGATATATAAGTATCCAAGTTATTGCTATTGTTCCCATATCCATGCACTAGAATATTCCCGCTATGAAAATTCTGGTGAATTAATCCTGCCGAATGTATGGAATTCAAGCCAAGTATCACGTCTCTCAACATATCTATCCGTTTCCACCAATCGAATTGGCCGAAAGCTTGTCGAACGTAATTTCCGAGATCACCTTCGCTGGCGTACTGCATTACCAAAATGTAATGGTTCGTTAGGGGCTCACGACTTATCCCGTAACATGGCAATATTCTTCCCGAGCTCATACATTGATAATAGAATCTTAACTGATTTTGGAGGTAATAAGGTTATGGTGAGCGAATAAAGGCAACCAATCAGTCTCAAAAAAAATATATACACAGTACCTTATCCAAAAAGTTTACACATCCGAACCCACTCTTCACCAATACTTTGAGCACCACTCGTCTTTTATTCCAGATCAAATCATATTTTTGTTCTGGAGCGTCATTCCAAATTGCGGAGTAGACAATGCCAGATCCTCCCTCGCCAATCTTTGTTAAATTACTGAATTCTTCGTACGGGATCCACTTCAAAGATTTATCGACAACCGATTTTAAAGAGATATCATTAGAAACAGACGAATTGGTATTGGAAGCGTATATTGTTTCTTCGAGGAATTTATCGATCTCCAGATTACCGCTTGTAGACCTTGGAGACCTTGGAAAGGTAAGCGGGGACGAGAATCTCTTCATTTTACGAGAATCGTTTGGAGCGAAGTGATTGACTTTGTTTAATGAAAACCCGTTTTTTTTTTTTTTGTGTGTGTGTGTGTAAATGTGTGTGTAGATTGACAACTTAAAATACTACTTTGTGAAACTAAATGTACCGAAATGTAGTATGCTATCGATGTAAGCGCGAAACAAACCACACAATTCAAAGAGAACGAACAATAAGAGGTGACAAACAAATACTGCGTGACAAAAATTCGTGTAAA